TCGTGCTTATCTTATCGCACCATATCTGAATTATGTTAGCATAGCCGCTCCTCTATCTCTTCTCAACAAAGTTCTCCGTGCCGTTGAAAAATTCAGTTGCTTTTGATCAAAGGCAGCCTATCAATGTTTATCTGGAAGTAGAGGCATTCTGGGAAAGTTGTCAAAGCTTGTAGATCGTCCACCGAACCAGCAGCCAGTCCAAAATGACAATAATGTCCACCACCCAACCACATTATTGCTGGGAAGTTTCTTGGAGTATCAAGCAGAGTTTTAGCGCAGCTTTACAGGGACGAGAAGCAGGGGTGGTTCTTTGCCAATTCCAGAAGGTCTTTCAGAGCCTGATGGAAGATACTGTTCTTGATACTACTCCATTGCCTTATATCGTTTCTAAATTGGTCAACAGAACTGCTTCCTCCATCACTTGAAGGTTTCGGAAATTTCGCACCAGCGGCACCTGCGGCTCCACTGTCACTGTCACTACCGTGAACGGAAACATTAGAACCTCCAGTGTTTCCGATACTTCTAGAAAAGAGACTTTCCTCACTGGGGTTCGAGACTGTTTCCTGACGCTCTGAGTCACGTGCAATGGCAGCAGAAAAACGTACGCCAAAGCTGGGTGTCGCTGCCTGACGAACCGTCTGACTCGCCCGCTACCACAGCGACACAGTAAACTGCGGGGCTCGAATCCCACACCAAATGGACGGCTGCGCCTAACAACAGTAGATTCATTTGCACACTTTCACATTGTTTCCACTGAAACGTCCGCAACGTCTTGTGTATAGGCATGACAGCGCGCGACCGCACCTGTAACACTGCCCCAACCAAACAATGCACCCGGATCACTCAAAACCGCGAGCAAGAGCAAAAACGATCACAGGGTTATGCACGAAGCGTTCACGAACAGTTTATGTGACACCGCGGAACATATAAAGTAATAAAAAGCATGCTTACCTGTCAGCCTTGTTGATTTCACGGCGAAAATGAGTTCTTGTTTCTTTTGCTGGACTACGGAATCGCTCCAAATGGTGTGCGCGATCGAAAGTGTCGCTGTGGTTGTCCTGTCACGATTTGCCGAATGTTGACTATGATGTCAGCAAAGGTTTTCTCGTCGACAGAAATAAGATTAATGTAAGAGCTTCAACTTTGGTGGGCTTGGCAGTGTTGGTTTAAGAGGGCTCCATAGAGAATACATGAGGTTTTTCGCCAAATTAGAAAAGTTCTCAAATGATAACGGCTGTGCGGATCTTCTTGAAATTTCTGCTTTAAAGACATTGAGGCATTATCGAGACATTGAGTGCAACAAATGTTTTATTATAAATTTAATTATATTATTTAAAAAATCATGAAAATGGTCAAAATCGGCTAATTCGGAACTCTTGCGTTCGGAGCGAATTTACAAAATTATCTAAATGCAAACAGAAAGAGTATTGCGCTTAATGTCTTCTAAATTTATTACGGAATCGAATAATATCGAAATTATTAATGTAAGTCGATCTGTTGCGTAACTACAGCGAATACAAAGAACCAAGGTGTCGGTGCTTGTGATAGAGATCAGTGGCGCTTGTTTTCATTGTTTTTAAGGTACCTCTCTCTCCCGTGAGGTGGCGCTCGCTGTCCTAATGCCTAGTGCTAATGGCCGACAACAAAGAAGATTTGCAGAAATTAATGGATATCTGTGGTACAGAGGGAGATAAACTAGGTCTTAAATTTAGTCAAGAAAAATCGGCAGTGATGATTTTTAATGATAAAGATGGTGGCGAGCATAGGGTACAAGAGGTCATGTTGGAGGTAGTGGATAAGTACAGGTATCTTGGGGTATGGATAAATAATGGTGTTGAGTATCTAACGGAGCATGAAAAACATGTAGCGATGAAAGGTAGCAGGAATGCAGCCGTCATGAAACATAGGGCTTTGTGGAATTACAGTAGGTATGAAGTGGTGAGGGGGATTTGGAAAGGGGTCATGGTTCCCGGCCTGACCTTCGGCAATGCGGTCCTGTGCATGAGACCAGATATTCAAGCAAAGTTAGAAATTAAACAGCGGGGCGTAGGTAGGCTTGCTTGGGAGCTCATGGAAATACGCCGAATCAGGGGGTACAAGGCGACATGGGATGGACGTCATTCGAGGGCAGGGAAGCTATACTTCGTTTCAGCTTCCGTCCGAGCGCAGCCAAAGCTACGTGTGGCCGGAGCCAATCACACGCCGGCAATAGGTCACGCGATCTCGCCATGCACTTTTGTATCACTCCGCTGCGCCGCCGGTCGTCCGCGCCACCCGCGCTCGCCGAGTATTTCGTCTGCTACGGGTGTATCAATGATATCGTCTGCTACAGGTTTAAAAAGTGCCCTTTCACGTTCTGAAACTTTGTCACAGGGAATTCGCGACTCCAGCAAAGCGGACGCCACCAAGCGGGGAAACCGGGAACCAGCCGGTCCAGGTCGCTCCGCGCCCCTCCGCGTCTCTGGTGGCTTTTGCGGAGACGTGTTGTTGGCGCGGTGGCGAACAATGTAATTTGACGAATGTCCGAATATTTCTTAAGTTTGCCTGAGTGATAATTAGTGTGGTGAAGCCTCAGTAGATTGTTTTCTTCTATTACGTGTTTGAAAGCCCGTTTACTCGACAACACACGGTTGCATGCTTTCGATTTCTTGGATGGGGAGGAATCGCACACGGTTGCATGCTTTCGATTTCTTGTCTGTCTCGAATCACATTCAAAGTTACGACTACTTGGTAACTGATAAGTGGTTTCGTTATAAGGATGTAGGAAAGTGTACTGAGGACGACAGACGAGGCATTTCACTGGAGGGAACATCAACGTTGCAGTAAAATGAATGAGAAGGTTCGATAGCTGCTTTTCTTGAGTTTGGTTGTGTTCGGTTAGCTTCAAGTTTGCGCCACCCACGCCGGTCGGTGCGTTGGCTATTCATCTTGGCTGCTTTTCACCGAAAAAGCCTCTGGACCACACCGAAGGAGTTGGGCTGATTTCTCAATTACTTGATTCAGGAAAACCTGCTCGCTGCAAATAATGAATGAGGGAAATTATCTGTTTTCAAAAGGTGGGGGATGAGTCTAGATGCTGTCACGGCATTTTGACCTATCGCGCCTTCATTTATATTACGAGGACGTCGAAGCCAGCAACAATATATGTCTACATTGGCCAGGTTGACCAGCCAAAAAAAATACTCATTTTCTCCGTTCAGGATTCGAAACAAAGTTCAATGTAGAAAGGTTCTGCGTGAATCTTCGATGAAGACTCTTCAGTTTGTCCCCGTGTTGCCGGCTATAGAACCATTTGGCTAAGTTTAAGTGGTATCTCTCTGTCTGTCAAATATACTTTTATTCAGCAGCTCACTTAACAGCTAGTCAACTAAGCTCATATTTCAACCCGAAAAATATACTAATATCGCTTTAGTGGGACCCCCCCCCCATAGTACGTAATATAATACATAACACGCTCATCAAAATGACTTCTCGATTGCTACTAAAACCTGAATTAAAATATGAGTATCAGCTGCTTAGTCGGTGGGTTAAGATGGTCCTTGGCTCAAGAAGCGCTTGCTTACTTTTTGTAATTTTCCTGCAGGCTGTGTTGTTGACCGAGCAGACGACTGGAGCTGTTTCTTATAATAATAATAATAATAATCTTTATTTGCAAGAGCAATGTAACCCCGGGTGGCTTGCGAGGCGATGACAGAAAGGCGAGAGCCCGTACACTAGAGTGCCTGTCAGCCAACCACCCGGGGCATGAAATAACAAAACAAACAACAATAACAGAGAACGAATAAAAACAAAAATGAAACCGAACAATGATCATGGCGTAGAATCAGTTTAGGTGCTTTGACCGCGAAAATGCACGGCGCAAGGCAGCGGACTCGTCACGGTTGTTGGGGAGTGGAGATCGAATCGACACGGGAGCCGCAAGAAAGTCTCTGAGGGCGGCGGGGAGTACGGAGTGCGAGTGGCGCACTGTTCGGGCGTGCAGGAGTTCTGGCTGCCCGGATCGCTTCCCGATCCTGATGCATGAGTGGAGGTGGGTATCACTCATGGACCCGTCGAGCAACCTACAAAGGAGCCCAACCCGAGCCACTGTCCGGCGGCGGCAGAGGCTTTGCCACCCAAGGGCCCTAAGGCGAGCTTCATACGGCGGCACAGGAACTTGCCGGCCCAACATCCGAGTATGAAGTGTTCGAGTAGCCCGGCGCTGCACGCCCTCCAGCCTGTCGATGAGGTGAGCCTGGAAGGGTCCCCACACGGAGCAGCAGTATTCCAGACGAGGCAGGACTAAGGCAGTGTAGAGAGCGCGGAAAGTTTCATGTCCCCAGTTCCTTGAGACACGTGTGACAAAGCCAAGAGTCCGCCGGGCCCTGGACACAGTGTCTGCAATCTGAGGTGAGAAGTCCAGAGTTGAACTGAACACAACCCCAAGGATTGGGAGAGACTGAACACTAGGAATGGCAGAGCCTGACAAGTAGTATGCAGGAGGAACGGTGGAACGGCTGTTGGAGACTCGCATTGCAGCACTTTTGTGGAAGCTAATTGAGAGGCAGTTCGTTCTTGCCCAGCAGTCAATCTGGTCCAGGAGACTCTGGACACCCGGCGTGGAGGAGGGTATGTCTGCTGGGGCCAGAATGGTGGTGTCGTCTGCATATTGCACCAGCAGACACTCTTGCGATGAAGGCACGTCGTTCACATACAAGAGGAATAATGTGGGCCCCAGTACTGAGCCTTGGGGTACCCCTGAGGTGACAGCGAACTCATCGGAGGCCTTCCCATGGAACAATACAGGGTGGGAGCGACCGATAAGAAAGCGGCTCAGCCAGAGCAGCAGGGGGCCACGAATACCGGATTGTGCAATTTTCTGGAGGAGGATAGAGTGGTCGAGGGAATCAAAGGCGTTGCACAGGTCTAGTTGAATGATATCAGTTGGGGAACGGTTATCCAGGTTATTGCTTATGTGGTGAACAATAGTAGCGAGAGCTGACTCACAGCTTCGGTTGGGCCTAAAACCATGCTGGGAGGCAGAAAGAAGGCCGTTGTTGTCCAGAAAGCGAAGAAGGTGCTGGTTGATGGTGCGTTCGAAAGTGCGGCAGAGGATAGAAGTAATAGAGATGGGCCTGTAGCTGGAAGGGTCGTTGAGAGGTTTCCCTTTACCCTTGTGAACTGGTGTCACAAGGGCCTTCTTCCACGTGGAGGGCACGTAGGAGTGGTCGAGAAAGGATTGGAAAAGTGAGAGCAAGGAGAAAGAAAGGTAAGGGAATAGGGACTTGATGAAAGTAGGGGCGAGCAGGTCAGGCCCAGCACAGTGGGAGGGCCGGATCAGTCGGGCAGCTTCATGCAGGTCGTCGAGAGACAAGCACAAATTTGGAAGGCAGGTTACAGGTTGGGAGGTGGAAGCTTCGATAGTCTGCACAAGAAGGTCGGGATCTGGAGTAGAGGAGTTGTGGCTGAAAGCAGAGGAGAACTGTGAAGCGAAGAGTTGGGCTACGTCCCTGGGGGACGTGATGGGGTGATGGTCTCTGGAGAAACAGGGACGCTGTCGGCTAGACTGAAGCCCATTGAAATACTGCCAGAACAGCTTAGGGTCCTTTTTTGCCTTCATAGAGATGGTGTGGGCGTAAGCACTGTGAGCACGAGAGATGGCAGACTTGATTGAGCGCTGCAAATCTTTAGCACTCTGAAGTGAAATCTGGCACTGTGTACGAGCGGCACGTTTGAAGAGGGCTCGTTTCTGGCCAGCCATTTTCCTGATTTCAGGAGTGATCCAAGGGGACCTCTTCCTTCGCGTGGAATTACGCGAGCAGGGCACGCATTCTTTCTGGATGGCGCCAACAAAGTCGCACCAGAGTTCGTAGTTGTCAGCGCAATCGTCCCCAGTGGTAAGACACCAGGGTGCAAGATGGGCTAACTTAGCCATATGGGCATGGTCGGTCCGATAAAAGTTCCACAGAGTCCGTGCGAACCGGCCTTTTCGAGGGAGACAAGTGGCATACTCAACCTCTATCGCTTGGTGGTCGCTCTTGGACAGGCCAGGATACACGTCACAGGAGAGCATCCGAGTGATGTCTGTGGTGAAAACCAGATCGAGAAATGATAAGGCACGGCCCTGCGCAAGCTGGGCTTGGTAGGTGGCAGAGCGGCACACCTGTTGGAGGCCCACAGCAGATGTGACGTCAAGGAGGATATCATCGGTGAGGTCGCTAGGATAAGGTTCTTGGCGGCTCCACCAGTCAATATGGGAGTTGAAGTCGCCAAGGAGGACGACATCCTTGTAGCACTCGAATCTCACGCGAGAGAGCGAAGCGTCCAAGAGTGAGTACGATTCTTCGCGGCGATTGGGTGGGCAGTACGCGGATACGCGCAAAAGCTCGATTTCGCGGACAGATAAGTCGTATGGTCGAGGCAAGCGAGTTAGCTGAAAAGTTACTCTCTGTGGAACAATTCTGTAGCCATCGCCGCTCTCCTTAGATGATCAAAACTGATTAGTATATTGCCGTCTCTCCGGAGCCCATAGTTTCGGTTTTGAGCGAAATCTCTGAAACGAAAGTTTGACATGAAAAAAACGAAAAACACCGGCAAAACAGAACTATGCTTTGCAAGTTTATCTGCACCGGCTACACTTAACCGTCTCAGTTCAAATACCTATAAAATTGGGCATTAAACAAAAGAAAATCTGTTAAATTTAACGCGCCACCTGTTCAGGCGGCCAGGCTGAGCCGACGCGACCTGGACTCAGCCGCCATGTTTGTTTTGTGGTGGCGCCCCCTATAGGTCGCTGGAGTCGCGAATGCCAGTACGTAAGCTGGCCGCTGGCATCTGTGTCCGAGCTTTCCACCTGTTCGGCATAGTTTCGAGTTGTAAGTACACGTTGCAAGGTCCCTGATGACCCGGCCGTTGATGTTACCTTCTATTGTTTGAATATACCAGGGCTCGAGGCGCAGTCCTTTCCACCAGCTTTTCGACGTTCAATGTGATCGGCAGGTAAAGGGCTGCCCTGATTTCGCCGCGTATCTGAATTGTAGTGGCCCGGACGCTTTGCTTGTTTACAACGCATTCGCGGTACGACGCAGCCGGAGACTCCTGCCGAATTTGAAAGTAAACATTCATCACGACTTCTAGCGCCTGACGCCCAAACGTGCATTCGCGAAAGGGCGTTTTGAAGCGACTCGGTGAGGAAAGCAGCGAAGCACATGATTCGGCGATTACGGGAACGAAATCGCACGGAAAACCGAGCGCTGCAGCCGTGTTGCCAGCGGATATACATGTTTTCACCAAACCACATGCATTTACATATATTAATAGTAACATAAACTTCAGAGATTTGATTCCCTTAGTTGCAAATCATTCTCAGCAGTACACATCCGGAACATTGTGCAGTTTTTACGCACAAAACAGTTATTTTAAAAGAAATTACTTCTGTGAACTACTTTGTGGTGCGTAGGAATGCTCTTCTCGAAGTTGCGAACCGTCCCTCAGCCTTTGGCTGCGCTCGGACGGAAGCTGAAACGAAGTATAGCCGCAAGATAGAATTTGAGGAGCGTTTGAGGGAAATGGAGGAAGAGCAGTGGGCTAGGAAAGTTTTCAGTTATTTGTACATGAGGAATGTAGATACCAAATGGAGAAAGCGAACTAGAAAATTATCAAGAAAATATTTGGGCGGCAGTGGGGGCGCCAACCAGGAATTACGGGTTAAGAAAAGGATAAAAGAAACAGAGAAGGGTCTGTGGGAAACGGGTATGCAGACAAAACCAGCACTGGAGACGTACAGAATGTTCAAACAGGAAATTTGCAAAGAAAATATCTACGATAATTCTAGGGGAAGCTCTTTGTTGTTTGAGGCCAGGACAGGAGTATTGCGGACTAAGACGTACCGGGTTAAGTACCAGGAGATGGACACTTTATGTAGTGTGTGTGGGGAGCAGGAGGAAACGGCTGAACACTTAATACTTTTCTGTAAAGGGCTTCACCCAACAGTTAACAGTGACCGGGCGGATTTAATCAAAGCATTGGGTTTTAAAGACGGTGAAGGAAAAATAGACTTTACAAGGGTAGAAATAACCAAGCGGAGGTTATCAGACTGGTGGCTAAAATCGAGGCAGGGGTGAGATTTAATCTTGGAATTCAAAACATATAATTAGATTTATAATGTTGGCTAGGTGGCGCAAGCCACCGCCCGATTCACAGGGTTTAGCAAGATCCATCCATCCATCCATCCATGCGAAATTGTCCGTTCGGCGGTCGTTCGGATCGGCACTGTGCAAGGTATTCTTCCACGCCCGCATGGCCCGTATCACCCGTATCCTGTTTCATTCTGCACGCTGAGGCGTCAGTGTGCGTGTCTCGCTTTCGTGGTTCTCGGTGGATAGGTCTCCGTATTTTCGCACGCGGCAAATTCACCTTGGAGCTATGGGTCGAAGACAACCTTTCTATGGCAAGCGAACGCGCCAGAAAAGGTTTTAAAGTAAGCGTGTCCTCGCGAAAGCTGCGGTTGATGAGGTTGGTGATTTTGAGCGCTCGTTTGGTAGCCCGCATGGTTCCGTGTCCCGGAGCAACGACGGCAACGCCGAAGCGGTGACCGCGGAAGACTTAGCGCCCAGGCTTCCATTCCTAGTGAGGGAGGATCGGTATGTTTCGTAGCGGCCGAAGTCAGTTCTTCCGAGAGCTCAGGAGAAGCTAGAACGAGCTTTTTTTCGTTACAGTATCAATACTTGTTGGGGTTCTTTTTCTTCAACGTGATCACTTAGTAAGTCTATCTTTTTGCATGAAAAAATATATGAAATCATTTTTTTGTTCTTAGATGATTTTTGGACCGTGGTACTCCTGCCTCCAAGGCAACCATTTGCTGTATCTGTGTGTATGTCTTCGGCAAATTTGAAAAGTGGATATAAAACTTTGTAAATAAAATACCTATGAAATACCAAGTCTCATTGCAGTCTCAGTGTTGAAGATCTCGCTCCAGTTTGTTTTGGTTTGTTTTTAGGGAGGTTATATATTGCCGCAATCCGTTGTAATCTGGGATAGTAACGCAGCTTCCCACGAAAACTTTGATAATTTAATTGCCTCTTGAAACGACGTCACATCAAATTCGCGTCGCCCAAAATTCATATTAGCTTTTGAAAAAGCAAAGAAAATGCCGATGAGAGTTTGTAATTTTTGAACCTGGCCTACTGAGTACGCCCGCACGTGGAATCAAAGCGTTCCTCAAGGTGACACCCTTCTGCTTGTAGTATCACTTCACGGGGGCTTACGGTGCGGATGGGCGAAAGGCGCTACAGGTGGAACAGTTCGAGCTATCTTAAGTTTTCGTGCTTTTTTTTTTCTTTTGCTTCCCTTTTCATGAGGCTAGTATAGCCCCTATGTGTTTGTCGTTCCTGAGCTCAGTGGGTGAACTATCTAATGAAAGGCGCATAATGTTGAGACCTGCAAACTTATATTAAAAAAATAAATAAAACATTTAAGCAATCTTTTCACTCGCAGAACTGTTTTGTCAGCCTCATCCAGCAAGAGCGACAAACACCGCATTTTGTCCGACGACACCGCCAAGTTTCGTTTGGCTGATCCTACCCCGCTGCACCTCTCCGAACTCGCCACACAGCACCGGAGCTGCCTCGGTCGAACGCAAAGATTGACACTCTAAGTGCAGGCGAACGAGAACTGTTCCGCTCCTTAGATTGCAGGTGGCAAACATAACATTTGAGTGAGGTTCGAACACATCATTCCCAAATAGTGTAACCGGTAAGTGCGTTTATTTTTTTTTTTTATTTATTTACGCGAGGAAATGTTTGCAGTGTGCAGCATCGTGGCCCTTGGCTTGGCGCACTTTGCAGCCCCAAATGAATGGGGTCCGGAGAACTCCCGGGTGCTTTTTCACCCAAGGTCCGAATGCCTTGCTCAGAGCGCCCACCAGGATGCCCGCCAAGGCCGCAGTGCCGGCACCACCGGACACGTGGTAACCGTCGGCCGCCAGAAGCCCAGTCTCTACCTTTCTCTGGAGATCGAGAAACTTGTGCTGAAAAAGAACAACGAGGAGACATGTCTATGTACGGGAATGTTAGTTTTTGTCAATATTAGCTGACGGCACTTTTTCGAATGAGTGAAACGAAATAATTGAAGATAATTTTTTTAACGTGCACGCACAGTTTTGTTTTTACTTTAGGAATTTCGTTACAGGCTAAACATTTAATTATTTGATGGATAGCAGACAATGGCAATAGAGGATAGTGTATGGTACGCACTAAAAAACGATGGAGGTCCAAGCTTTACGCAGCCAATTCGTGAAAATTACTGCCGGCACTATCTTTTCCTTTCGTTCAATAAAAACAATACTTGCTAAAATGCAGCAGCTGCAAGTTGCAGGCGGACTTCGAAGGAGGCCGCTTATTGCTGCAGAACTATTCTCGGATAGTGTTATCGGTATTTTTAATGTCTTCGATTTACGCCATATAAAAATAATGAAAACGAAAAGGTACCAACTTACATCCACAGTCGGGGAGATCACGTTCCTGTCCCCGTTGCGTTTTAGGGCACGTGGGAGTGCCCTGTTGAAGTAACGCAACTCTAGGTCCACTGCCTTGTTTCGGTGTTGGGGCAGTAATTTGAAACAAAACACATACTGCGCCTGCTGCCTCAGACGCAGGAGCAGTTCCTGAAAAGCAAATTCCAGATGGTAAACGTATTTCGGGAAATCAAGCGCGTGACGTCACTCTATGGAAGGACGGGGCCCCGCACAATAAAGGTCCCCGCACGACTACGCACCGCGCGGATGCGCTTACCAAGGCGTAGGGTGCCGCTAACCTGCGCGACACTCACCCGGACTCAGCCGGGAGCCCCGAAGGTCTGCTCGAAGCGTGGAAACGGCGTTACGTAACGAAGGCCAAAGGCCATATACACCACGAACGAGCGAAAGCCGATGCAAAGGCGTGTGCGAACGTAAACAACGGTTGAAAAATGCCGTCGCTCGCCGCTATGAAATGCGTCCCCTAAACTGGATAATCCGCGGCCGCATCCCTTTCCTGTCGCTCATACTTTCTCTAACTTGACGACTACTCTGTTTCGCGGGGCATGCCCACGAAACGATCGGACGATCGTCGGGATACGTAGCAATTGCTACAGCCGAGCGCGGCACAGTTTACCATTGCTTTCGCTGCGAAGGGCCGTCGTGTCAACCACCAGCATGGTGCATACCGGTGCTCGACGTCAACATGTGATGTAGGTGCAAGGCATGTATACACACAGACACTGATAGCCTTTCTCGGGAATAATAGTAATAGCAAAATTATAGTCCTGCCGGCCTACGGATCCCCGCTTGTTAGGTTCAAACGTTTGCTGAAAGGGTACTCACCACAACTTCTTGAACAACCGCTGACCCCCTGCCGCCGTTTTGAAGATCATTTCCCCCTATGTACACTATCACAAATTCCAGCTTCTTCAGTGGCAGGACGTCTATTCTTCCCCGCAGCGTGCGTACCGTTCCCCCGGAATAGCTAAAATTGCATACTTCAATGCTCGTTTCCAAAAACAAGCGGTCTCGACAAAGCCACTTCAGCTGGCTACTACTGAAAATTGCTCCGCGCATCTTGAAGCGTCAGGACCAGGGTGTAAGATAGACAGGTGGGGAAACGAGAGCCAAATGAGTGACCGCATTGTGTCCCCCTCGGCTTTCTCTTTTTCTGTGGCGCCATCTATGTGCAGCACCGCGAACTCTCACTCCGGGTGGGCGACCGATGGCGATCGGCTAAACTGACGGAGATGGTTTTTTGTGGATTTTTAGTGAAAGACTGTCGTGCTCTCGGTTTATTTTGCGCAGTCTCCTATAGAGTTCCACGCAAATCCGATTCCAATTTTTTTCCTCTCGCCGCAGCGCCATCTGTCGCAAGTCGGGGGTACCCGCAAGCAGACGAGTACACAATCCGGTCACGGCGCTGCGGTAGGCTTCTATGGGCCGTTTCCCCACCTGTCTATCTTACACCCTGGTCAGGACACAGTCCGAATACGGAACCAGGAAAGAGAAGTCTGGACGTGTACACAGAGTTTTTATCCCAAGCAGTTGGGGAGGAAGGGAGGGAAGAACTACCCCCTTCCTTTATGCATCCCAGACGGGAGTTCCTCCCTCTCTCTCTCTCTCTCGCTCGTGACTCTCACTACACTGCGCAGAGTGGATGACACGATATAGCTTTTAGGTATGAACGACAACAATAAAAAAAAAAAGCTTCGTTCTGTTATCTATATTCATTTTCTATGAAAAGAGTAGGCAAAAGAAACAAATAACAGTCAACGAATCTCAGTTCCCCAAGCGAGGATACCGATACGGAGGAGAAAAACAGCCTGCTAAATCTCGCTATCTCCAAAGCTGATCGGTAACGTCACGCAGAGGAAACGGCGGTCAAACGTTCCGGGCGTAGAAAATCAACCTCCTTTCGAGATACGCTCATGAAGGTGGTGCATGTGTTATGTTTGCAGCGACGCATAGCAAACGCCTCAACGATCGCGATTCCTTTCAAACCCTGACCTACGCAAATGAAAATCTACAACGCGGTCAAAAGCGATGTCTTTGGCACCCCGATAAGTCGTTTTTGTTCACACTGCGGAGTATCGGTTTCCCCAAGTTAGCACAAAGAAGCTCAAAGTGGGGAGTTTCTGTGTGCCTAATAAAAAACGAAGCACCCTTAACATTCCATAGCTTCGCTTAGTGAAGTGGCCTACTAATCCTTGGCTTCTCGTGCCGAGTTCTTAAAACGGGGGAAAAAAATAAAAGAAACTCTTTAACGTTTTTGTTTAGACTCGAGTGACACACCCAACCTCTTTCGTAACAAAAGTCTTAAAATATTTCTACCTCTTTCCTATATATGTGGCCTCGTAGGACCGGCGAGCTCATCAAATGATCCCAGCGAAACACAAGGAACCGCTCTTTTGCGGCAACACAAAAATATATCGTAGTATAATTTGTACATTTCGTTGCTTTCACAACACCATGGTACCTTGTATTTTATCCTTTCTTCATTCATATTTCTTTCTGCGTGTTATGGTTGCTATGGCGACAGGTGCGACTTCCCTCTCGATTTTGAACGTTAGCTGAAAGAAGAGACCCAAAAATTGGGGTGGGTAATGACTCAGGATATTGCAGTGCGTCCCGAGATTTATGTTTTTATACAGTAAATAGATCTGTTCTGTGGAGTTAGCAACCCACCGCTGTTCTCCAGCCGTGATGTATTTGGAAGGCTGCCATGCAGTGAGGGAAAATTGTGACTTCGATTACCACGTCTAGTTTGAGGTCAGCGGGGCAGACAGCAGCGGAGAGAGGGGGGTTCAATGCGGACGCTGACATCGTCGGTCCCGAGATACAGAACGAGGCGAAGCGCGCTCGCTTTGCATCTGCGCTTTGCCTTTGTTAAACTGTTCGTCAGCGTGAGTTGTTTCTGATACAATGACTTTCGCCGGTTGTTTCTGCGAAAATAAAGCAAAAGAACACTAAACATTGTCATTGCAAATGATGTTTTACCAGCTTTCGCGTTTATGACAGCAAAGCATAAAAAGAAGCTGGGCCTTTTCCTCGATATTATTATATGATCTCTATGTTCGATGTAGACCATCGCGATGCTCGTAAGAGCCATCAATGCAAAGTCCTACTTTTCTCTCCCGCCCGGCTCTGTAAAACCACCAAGCTCGTCAAATACCACAAACAAAGTAGGAGCATCAGTTCTTCTCAAAAAGCTCCTTCAATAGATGTAGAAGCCTTGTCTATGTTATACTATTTTCAACCGGATATAAACGCGGCGTTATCTTGTAAAACCTCCAACAAGTGAAAAGTGTACAATAGCATCCGTCGTATATTCATTACTT